CACCAAATACCAAAGAAGTGATTTATAAAATTCAATGTACATTCCCTAGAGAGTTTATAATGTTAGAAATGTCCTTACCTTGGCATTGCTGGGTGTGGTGGTGCATACTTGTAATCCCAATACTTGGGCGGCTGAGACAGGAGGATCACTCCCAGTTCAAGGCCAGCCTGAACTACGTGGCAAGATTCTGTCTCAAAAAAAAAAAAAAGCCAAAAATGAAAATGTCCTTAACTTGGTAAGAACATATTATAAATTAGAAACCTGTATTTAACACTTGAGACATGGACATTAAAGTCAGGAATAAAAAGAATCACCACTATTACTCTTAACAGTTATCGAGGTCCTAAGCAATGTGAGATTAAAAGGTTGAGTGAGAAAAAATATTTGCAGATGACTATCTAAACAACACTTTAAATTGTTACAAAATAATTATGACTATGTAATAAGAGAGCATGCCAAAATAAGCTGTGTTTTCCAAGACTCAAAAGCTGCTGTGTTGTGAGCTCATTTCCAATCCCTTGAGGATAGGCAATTGCTTTTTATCATGCTCGAAGACCCAACCTAATCGTGTGTTTATCCCAGCTTCTGGAGTCTTTGCTAGGGTTAAATCTCTCCCCAGAAAAGTGCCTAAATCAAAGAAGTCTTATTTATCCAGCCTGAAATTCCACCCCCCTTAATTGAGCACTCTCAAATCCAATCCCAAATGTACTCCGTTGACTCCTGATAACATACTAGCTGATTTCAATTCCCTCACGTGCAATCTGTCCTCCTTTATCCAGACCAGCTGCAGTCCCCACACAGATTATACTGAGATTTAAACCTAGTACCTTAGCTTCATAGGTGGGGAGGAAATGAGAGCAGATGTAGAAGAGGTCTTCCTGGAAAGAGGGACATACTTGCTCTAACTGGGAGGTAGGAGGTAGGTATTATTTTTTAATAATAAAAATTATTAAAAATTTTTCCTGAAAGCTCTGAGGGTCCAGACATGTCTATAATAGAGTCAAAATCCTAAGGGGTATCCATCCATATTTCAAAGAGCCAGGCTTTCCCAAGCAGAGCTTTGCATAGTACAGGCTATGCTGGGCATTTAAATATCTTTAGAGCTCCGTAACTATCAAAACCACTTCTACTCTTCCACCATAAGAAATAGCCCCCTTTCAATAAGCTTTATTTCCCTTGTATCCTTCAGATACCTCAATTGTGAGTTTGTTTTTGTGGAGCTTTGTTTCTTTGGGGGATCTAGGGTTTTTTCTTGTTGTTTGTTTGAGACAGGATGTTGCTAAATCACTAAATCATTTTTACCCAAGCTAAACTTGAACTTGCAATCCTTCTCTCTCAGACTCCCAAGTGCTGGGATTACAGGACAGGTGTGCACCACCACACCCAGCTCAGATGCTTCAATTGTTACATCGCCAACATAATTCTCCTTTTTGGAATGTTTTCCTTAGAACACTACTGGTGAAATCTTCAGTACCAGGGTGGCCACCTTGTACCAATGTTAATGGCTTGTATCTAGATGTTCCCCAAAAGCTTGTGCACTCATAGGTGGGGCATTTTGAAGCTGCCTGGATCTAGGGTGTGTGATGCTGAGATTAAGGGTGCCTCACCCGGGTGTAGATGGCACCAATCAGTAGGCTTACAGCCTGGATAGAATATAAAGATAGCTTCTGCTGTTTCATTGCTGCTGCTTCTGCTGCTTCTTTTCTGCTTGCTGCTCACTGCCTTCTACTTGCCACACCATGGACTGTTTCTTCTCTTTTTTTTTGTACCGGGGATTGAACTCTGGTCCTTGCACTGGCAAGGCAGGGAATGGAACCACTGAGCTAAATTCCCAGCTGGACTGTTCCTTCTCTACAGTGTGCCTCTGCCATGCTGCCCTGTGTAGGAACCAGGCAACTATGAACTCAAACCTCTACAAACTCTGAGCTAAATAAACTTTTCATCCCTTAACTTATGGGTGTTGGGTATTCTGTCTCAGCAACATGAAAAGTGACTAAGACAGCCAGGACTGAGTAAAGCCATTCCCCACACTCCTTATAGACTGTTTTCTTGCACAAGTTGGTGTACCACCTATGTCAGTTCTAGTCTTCAGAGAAGCAAATGCCAAAAAGAGATTATAGTTGGCCCTCCTTTATTGGGTCCAGCATCTCCTAATTCAACCAAACTAGTGTGGAAAATGTTCAGGAAAAAAATGTACCTCTGCTGAACATATACAGACAGTTTTATCATTAATCCTTGAACAATATAGTATAACAAGTATATATGTATTGCAATGGGTATTATAAATAATCTAGAGATGAAAGTGTACTGGAAGAGGTACTGAGTTATGAGAATATATTCCACTCACAGAAAGGGCTTTAGCATACACAGATTTTGATATCTGTGGTGGTCCTGGAACCAGTCCTCCAAGTTATGGAAAGAAAACTGTATACACTCTGTGCGTGTGTGTGTGTGTGTGTGTGTGTATGAATATACATATAGACATACATTTATATTTATTTGTCTATACATAGACTATCTCTGGAACAAGACTATAGTTTGTGAGACCCCTGTTTAACAATTATTAAAAATTTGGGCTGGGGATTTAGCTCAGTGGCTGCCACCTACCTTGGATGTGCAAGGTCCTGAGTTCGATCCCTGATACAAAAAAAATTATGAAAAATTTAGAAACTGTGATAACAAATCAATAAAGCACATGAACTCAATAGGTTACATATCCATAAAGCTGGCTATGGTCTGGCAAAGTGTACAGGAAAATGGCATGGTTGTGATTCCAAGAGGAAAACAGTAGCAGGATACAGGAACTGAAAAGACTTACTTTGCATTGTGTTATCTTTCTCTGCCTTCTAAGTTTTGTACATGTAAAACCACTACTTCTCAGAACAAAATGGATCATGGGTTCTTTGGGTAGCAACCCTTCAGATTTTTTTATGCCTGCCTGAAGAAAAGACACTGTCCTGGGGAAAACATTTGGTTGGGGTATACTTCTGCCCTCAGACTTAAGCAAGCAGTGAGCCTTGTACTGTGCAGGGCCTTGCTTTGGCCTTCTATCTATGCATCTCCCAGTGGGGTGAGAAGCCCATGAAATCAAGGGGATGTGTCCACATGGAGATAACTCTCCACTTAAAATTATGCACTGGGCACCTTAGAATTCCCTTCCCTAAAGGCTAAGCTTGCTTCCAGGATTTGCCCAGTCTTCTTCCCAAGGTCTGTCCTCAGTAGCCAAGAAGTAACTGCCCTATATTCAGGTAGTGTAAACAGACCTTAGAAAGAAGGCTGGGTTATTCTCTGACACTGGGCTCAAAAGTTGGCTGTGAGTCAGATGTAGTGGTGCAAGCCTGTAATTCCAGCACTTGGGAGGCTCTGACAGGAGGATCGCCATGAGTTCAAGGCCAGCCTAGGCATAGTGAGTTTGAGCCCAGCCTGAACTACATAGGAGGCCCTGTCTCAAAAAACAAAAACCACCACCGCCTGCCTCGAAAGCACAAGGTCCTGAGTTTGATCCCCGGTACTAAAAAACAAAGGTTGCTGTGAAAATTTTCTCTAGCCCTTCTAAAATAGAAATGATATTTTCTCTGGGCCAAAATACTTCATTGGGGGGGGGGAGCATATCAATCACTGCCATTATGTACCTTATAACGACTTAATTTAAGTACATTTTCTGAGCTCCCTTATAAATTTTTTTTAAAAACTGTAAATCCAGATCTTAAAATTAGAATTTTTTAAACCAGGTTCCCGGTCTGTGGAAGACACTGTACTATTTTTTGGCCTACCGGTGAAGAATGTTCACAGGTAATATGGTCAAAACAGAAGCACGTTTTGACAAACCCGTCGATAAGTAACGACTACAATTCCCAAAATGCACTGCACCCTCAACGTGACCAACTCGGCTGTTTTACCTCAGACCAACGGGTTGCAAAGAACAGACAGCTGAAAGAGCTGAGCGACTTGGCTATGTTAAAGAGTAATAAAGGCACAGAAACAAACTATATGCTACTGTGGCCCGAAGCATAACGTGTACCCACTGTGCAATGTGTGACGTTGAGTGGAGATTTCCTCCTTCCCTTGCTAAGTGAACAAGACGGAAAACTCAAGAACTGCCTGCCCCCAAGAGAAACTTAAGATATCAAAACAGTGCTCTTTAAGAAGGCAGCTCCTCGCCGTTTCGCTCATCTTATCTACAGAATTATTCTCCAAGGTTACAAACACTGTATTTCATGAAGCCGAAACTTCGCCTTTCGATGAACAACTACTAAGAGCCCTACAACAAAACGCTTCGGAGGGATAGAGAACAGTTAACACCTTTGTAAGATATTAGAGTCGCCTTGGGATCTTCAGTGTCCACGGAACATTTCCTGGACAGATGCTTAACTAAAACAGATTCTATAACAAGATTTAGTGGGTTTCAGTTCGGCTGAAAGAGCTCTTTCACCCCTTCGTCTTCACAGAAAGATTTAAACTTTTATGTTTCTGTCTCAGGTTGTCAGGGTGTTTCCATTAAAGAGTGCAAGCACCTTTCATTCCATCTTGCTCCATGTAGTCCTGTTCAAGAACGCCTACTTCTCTATTTGGCTTTACTCTTCCTCAGAGTTTGGGTCCCAGCCCTCAGGAACTTTCGCGCAAGCCGCCTTCCACAGGAGGGCTTCACGCGGCGCAGGCAAGGACGTGGAGTTCGCGAGAACCTCCCACCAATCAAGATCCCGCGCAGGAGGCGGGCCTAAAGAGAAGGAAGTCTACTTAGGCCCTCCCACTTCGGCACGTAACGCGCTCCTAATTAGAGCCTGGAGCATCCTTGCTCTGAAAGCGCGTGCAGAGGAGCTAGTGACGTGTTTTGGGCTTGTCGGCCTCCGTAGCCCCTGCTAGGGCAAGCCCGTGTGAGCCTGCTGAAAGAGGAAGAGAAAGGCCGAGAGAGTCGAATTACAAGATGGCGGACCTGTAGTAGTCACGGCGGCGGCGGCGGGAGAACGAGCTCTGGGGGACGAAGGGAGGGGAGGGAAGGGTGGGTGTGTACCGGGGTGAAGTGAGAGGTAACGGACACTCTGAGCGAAGGGGTTTCGCTAACTCTTGTCGCCCCTTCTCGCGGCTGAACCTTTGGAGCCATGGTGTACTCGGGCCTCTCAAGAGCTGCTGCCGCCGTTGCCACCGCCGTTACCGTCTCCGAAGAGTGAGGGTCCCGGACGAGGTGAGCGAGGAGGCTGCGGCCAGAACGGTAGGGTCAGCAGCTACCAACCATGTCGGATACCCGGCGACGCGTGAAGGTCTATACCCTTAACGAAGACCGGCAATGGGACGATCGAGGCACCGGTCATGTCTCCTCCACTTATGTGGAGGAGCTCAAAGGGATGTCGCTGCTGGTTCGGGCAGAGTCCGACGGTAAGATTGTTGGGACGGTACATTAAGAGCCATCCGCTTTGGTTGTGGTACAGCTTTAGGTTTAGGTTTTGGGCCCTGTTACTCCTAATACCACCTTTTGGGACAGCACACTGATCTTGAGTCTGCTCTTCTGTGTAGTTAAAAACAAACTACTTTGCCTGGATTTACCCTCAGTGAGACGCAGATTCTGTTTCCCCCGCCTCCTATCCCTTTTAAAGACTTGACCCCTTCATGTCCTGTCCTTCCTTTTAAGAGGTTTACAGTGTAGGTGAGAGTGAGGAGGAAGTAGTAGTAAGAGATAAGGACCTGCTAGCCCTGGGGAGCTGACACCCGCTCCCGCTTTCGTTTGATTCTTACCCGTTTATGAGGCTAGTACAAAGGTTTACTGAAACTTTTATTGAGTGCTTTTTCCCTTTGAGCCATATTTTGGCAACGATTCTTACTTAAGCTACAGTCTATTGTTGCTAGTGAAAACCAAAAAGGTTTTTTTTTCCCTTGGGGTTATTGCAGTCTGTTGCCACCATACATGTACGCGCGAGCAGATCGTCTTTCGTCTGGGGTCCATCAAGGCTGCCTTCCTAGAAGGTGCCATAAAAAAGTGGATACTTCACTACCTCATCAAGTTAGGACACCAAAGCAGATTGTAAATTCGTATTTGTCGATTGTTAGGATTCATGTGACGTATTTTAAAACTATAAAATATATAGCTCCAAGTAAAACATTTTTCACGGTATAATCAGAATATCTCAATTTTGAGCAACTAATAGGTGCAGAAAAATAGGGAAATAATCTTAGATCTATTCTCGACTTACTTTGTACTCTTGTACTTTCCCTTTTCAATATTCGAGGAGTATTTCTACATAAGGTGTTTTTTTCTTCAGGTTAGAAGTAGGATAAATTTAACACTAATTCATATACTGAGTTCTTGGATCTCTGTTGCAGTCCTTCATAGTTTGTTGTATTTGGCTGGCAATGAAATAAAACAACTTTTATTAAACTGACTTCAGGTCGTCTTTTAGATTTCAAAATTTTCATTTCAGTGAAACTTCAGTAATCATCTCATCTCATCTTTGAATGGTTTTAGATAGATTGTTTAATTCTGTAAGTGTATATGGGGATTGGATTAAATATTCTAAAATAAAGCCTACCTCTGAGGAGAAAATGTACTATATTAGTATTTCAGATGTTCAGCTGGGTGAAGGGACATTGGTTTTTTAAAATGTGTGTTCATATATTTTATTCAGGGTTTTATAATTTGAGACTAACATTTTTTTTAATCTTTCAGGATCACTACTCTTGGAATCAAAGATAAATCCAAACACTGCATATCAGAAACAACAGGCAAGTAGTCGTTTATCTTTAATTTGAAAGACCTCATCTATGATCAAGGAAGTATTAATCTGGCAAAGATGAGAATGCTTCCCTGACAAGAAAAATGTTTGGTAAACAAAGCTAGAGACCTTGTGTATTCCCTAACAGGTTAAAAGTTTCAGACTGAAAAGTGGAAGTTTTTGTACTGGCACTAATTTATCATCTTTGAAGTGAGCCACTGTTAGTTCATATTAGAATACAATGTATTTGTTAGTCTAACTAAATAAAGTATGCCAAGTCTCATTTATATCTTGTACACCAAACCTTTTATTCACATTTAAAGGAAATGACATAAAAGAAAATTCCAAGGGATACCTTTTAAAGCAAGGAAAGCCTGTTCCTGAGGTGAAATTAAATCCCTTGACTAAAGTGAGTTTTTGAATGAACACTTAAGTCCTGTTATTTAATTGTTGTATTTTTTAATCAGGGGATACTTTACAAACACATTGAAAATTATGTAACATTTTCTGTTTGTATTTATTGTCTTATCTTGGGAAAGAAAACCTGTGTTGTGTTTTAATATGCCTAATTAATCTAAAAACAATAGGAGATTCAGCTTTTCTGTGAATGTTTTCATTTTTATTATGAAATATATCAAAATTGAAAAGTGTAGAGAATAATACGCTGGTGGTCTGTAACACTGCCACATTTAAGAATAACATTCTACTATATTTGTTTCAAATCTTTTTGTAATATTGAACATTATTGATATAGTTAAAGCTCCCTTTGTATCCGTTTTATTCTATCTATTCTCTATCCTCCACATAGGTAAGCCTATTTGGAAGTTGATGTGTATTCTTTTTGTACATGATTTTATATCTTTTTCTGCATATGTATGTATTCATAAACAATGTGTAGTCTTTTGTGTTTAAAACTTTACCCAGCTGCTATCATCCTCTTAACATGTATTCTGCAACTTGGATTTTTCACTAATTTTGAAGATGTATTCATGTTAGCAATGTAGATCTAGTTGTTTTTTTTTTAAAACACTGTATTGTATTCTAATGTGTTATATACACCTATTAGATATTTGGATTATTTCCATTTTGTGTGTGGTATGTAAAGTATAGTAGAGATTTTGGAAGAAAAAGATTATTTTAGAATTATAACATCAAGCCTACTTTCAAGGTCTATGAAAATTTGAATGCTAAGAAATAAACACTACAATTGAAGGAATAAAATTGTGTCTATTGGACAGCTTTTTAATAGTAAAAGTTTTTTATTGTTAAGTAACTATTTTAGTTATGTAATACATTCTCAGTTCAAAATATTTTAAATTTTTATTCAATTAACAGGTTTTTCTTCTCTTAAGGAAATGTTTAAAAAAAAATTTTTTTGGTGAAAACTCAAAAACACTTGTTTTAAATTGAACACCCAAGGATTTTTCCCATACCTTAGACTTTTTTTTTTTTTTGGTATTGGGGATCGAACTCAGGTCCTTGCACTTGTGAGGTAGGCATTGGAACCACTGAACTAAATCCAAAATGTACAATTTAAGTAAATTTAATTTCTAAGTCAGCCATGAGGATGGTTATTCTTTGTCTCTGCACTGAATTTTACTACATAGCTAGTTTGGATTTTTTCTTTGCTTGCTTGCTCACTTGTAGAGAAATACTATTATTTTGTCATTTTTCCTCTTCTCTGTGTGAATATAAGATCAGGAAATTTATTTCTTTTTTTATTTTTTTAGGAAATTTGCTTCTTAAATGTGACTAAGTCATAATCATTTCCCTAAAAATTTAATTATAGATTCTTCTCAGGTTGTTTATATGATCTTTTAGTTGTTATTACTATTAAAAGGATCCCATTATGGCAGGCATTTATTTATAAAGTAGTCCCCCAACAGTAGTATTTTACAAATGGTTCTGTGAGTATTTTACAAATTTGGGAACATGATTTCACACATATTACTCTGCTAGAAAACTAATTCCAGGTGAATAATATTTTTGTATGCATTTAATATCTATAAAGTAGAGAAGAAAAATATACTTTTTTAAAAATTGTGCTATTTGGAAATATTTTCTGTAACTAGTCACTTATTTGTGTTGGTTTTTTTTTGGTATGGGGGATCAAACTCAGGACCTCATGCTTGCCAGCAGATGTTACACCGCTGAGCTACATCCCCGGCCCTTTTATTTGTGTTTTTAGGGGGTTGTTGTTGTTTTGTAGTGGTACTGGGCATTGAATCCAGGGCCTTCACACTAAGAAGCTACATTCTCAGCTATTCTTTTAATTTTTATCAGGAGCCATGGTTTCATTAAGTACGAAGCTGCCCAGGCTGAGCTCCAACTTGCCGTCTTTGTGTCTCAGCCTCCCAGAGTGCTAGGATTACATGTCTGTGCCACACACTCTGCTTAAATTTCTTTTTTTTTTTTTTTACAATAGATGCAGTTTTTCTTATTTTCACCAAAATCTAAGTTTGTATTTTTTTATAAGTTACATAAATTGGGACTTTTAAATAATATTTTTATGTTCATTAGTATTATTTTTTTATGTCTGTGTTTTTCACTAGTCTTGTTCATTAGTGGACTTTTAATTAAAACTTAATTTTTAATTAAAATTAAATGTTCATTAGTGGATTTTAATTAAAACTTTGATGATTAAAGTTATGTTTATAGGATATTTTGCTGTATTGAAATACATTGCGTAAATTCGGAGAAATACTTAATATTCCTAACATTGCAGTTCTAAAATGATCCAATTACTGAATTGTTTGCTCAGAATGTGTTTTATTTTCTTCCAGAAGTCAAGTACTGAACTGTAGGCTTAAAATAAGTAAAGAATGAGTCAAGTTGAATGTCAAATGACTGAATATCAGATGTCATCATTCATTCACATTGCTTTCTTCCTTAATGTGCATACTAAAAAAGTTAATGGGGGAAAGATGTACTTTCCTAGTAAACCTGTGTAGTAATTAAACATATACTTTGGAAAGAAATGAGAGTGATTATACAATATAGTATGAAATAAAGTGCCTGATGTGTGTGTCAAATTTTTAAGCTACTTAAAATTAATCCCACTGATCTTGACTAAATCAAAAGCAGATTCATAGGGATATGTAGACATGTAGAAAATTTTTCTAAACACAGTTGTGTGTTAATTGGGTTTAGGGGAAAAGTACAGGGAAGTCATCACCTCAATTTTATTTGGAGACAAGATTGTACAAGTGAAACAATTGCAGAATGATAATAAGAGTGCTAATAAAGTAGTTTGACCCAGTCTTCATTGAAGGCCCATGAAAGTATTTCTTAGAGAGGCAACTGAAGTACATAAAAGTTAAGATTCTTGACTGGAATTGTACAGCAGGTGTATGCTAATACAAAATATTATAAACAGATAACTTGCATTCCACAGCCATGGGCAATAGAAAATTAGAGATGGAAGAAACTGATAAGAACTAAAATCATTAAGAAAAACTACTCTTGGTTGTTGCTGAAGGAACTGTGATAAGATAGGAAATAATAAACCAGCTATGAAAAGTATTAAATCTATTTGCAGTAGACATTTTTTGAAAGGTTGGTTTGCTAAACAAAAGAGCTGTTACAGGTGCTTATAGGGATCTAATGTAATGAAAATGATACTGTGTTTAAGGAAAACAGTGTAACTGTCTAATGAACAGAAAGAGAGGGTGGAGCAGAAGAGCTTTGGGTATAAAGACCTTTTGAATTAGATACAAGAAATGAAAGTTTGGAACTTGACAGGAAGAAACTGAGCTCAGTGTAATTTCAAGAAAGTGCTAGAAGATTGAGTGAATGATTAGATATGAAAGAGAAGGAATCAAAGGTCACTAGTAGTGTTTTTGAGTCTTTGGGGCCAGGTGAGTGGGAGCAAAGTGGTAAGTTGAACAGGTTTACATTGTTTGGTTTGAGGCTCAATTATTGAAATAAACTTTAGCTTGAATATATATTCATTAGCATGATTTAAAAATTCAAAAGGTATTTAATGATGTCTCTTTCCCACCTCAGAGGCTGTCCATACCTTCCCTTCCTAAAGGCCATGCACATGACCAGTTTCTTATATGTCTTTTTACAGGTATGCATATGTAAACAAATGCACACCATCATATGTATATACATAAGTATACACATATAATATGTATGTGTGTGTATGTATATATGCTCCCTTTTATTGTTGTAAATGATAGCATACTACTTACTGTTCTGTGTCCCCTTTTTTCATTTGAAATATAGTAAAATATGTGGAAAAGTCGTACAGTAAACTCTTGGGACTAATGGTAGGGTATGAGTTTAGGAAAGGAGTCACTGACTTTAGTTTGGATTTTTAAAATGAGGTTTGAGGGCCTGGGGATTTAGCTCAGTGGTTCCAACGCCTGCCTTGCAAGCACAAGGTCCTGAGTTCGATCCCTGGTGCCAAAAAAAAAATGAGGTTTGAAAGCTTTTTAGGAGTTTTTAGCAGAAGAATAACATCCAGAATACTTAATAAAAATCAATCTGGAATTGGAGAGAGGCAGTAAGTATGGGACTAGTTGAAAGATTGCTGCACACAGGAGGTAATATTGAATATGACTAAGGTAATGGAGATGTTGGAAGAGATGAATGGATTTGAGAAGTATTTTGAAAGTAGAATTGACAGGGCATGGTGATTAGGAAGGAAGATTCAACGAAGTAGAAGGATAAGGAGTTAGAAAGACTAGAGAATAAGATAAATGTGTTTCAGACCAACAAAGAGAAGAATTTCAGTAAGGAAATAAAAGCCAGTCAGTCATCAAATGGCTTTCATATCCTGTAAGATTAAGACTGGGAATATTCTAGATTTTGGTTATAAGAATATAGCTGAAATGAAGATACACAAAAAATGATATCTATTGCATCTGAATCTTAAATGTCAAGATAAGCTAATAAAATTCAAGATATTGGTTGTTCAACCTCAAGAGTTATTGTGGGGAATGAACTAGTGAGCATATAGGAGAAAGATTTCTACAATTTTGAGTGCTGCATTTAAATGACAGTGTGAATGTGCAATGAGGGGAATCTTTGCTGTTAAAGTGTAGCTCAGGTGCAAGAATAGAGGAAGTGAATGATTAGGTTGCAAAGACCTGGCTTAGTAATAGGTAGAAAGGCATTCTGAGTGTGGTGATTTGGAACAGGACCAAGAAAGTATCTTTGGGAATCAAATGGAGACAGTTCCTTCTTATTTGGGCATCTAGGCATGCTACTTAAATATGTTGCAGAGGATGCCAGGATGCAAGTTGTTAGAAACATTTTTAGAACTGGTTCACATACATGGCATTATAGTAGCAATAATAATTTAGACTTGGGTAGTTTTAAATTTTTGAGTTCTATTAATTTCTAGTTTGTGGGATTTCAATCAGATTTTCTCTGTTATCTTTTTTTAAAATGGAGATGCTACCTATCTCATGATGGTTGGGAGTTAATGCATGAAAATGCTTTAGCACAGTACTTTATAGAAGCTCATTAAGGGAACTGTATCCATAATAATCTTATAGTCCTGATGAAGGAAAGTCAAAGAGTTTAAGTCAGCCATGCATGGTGGCACACACCTGTAATCGAAGCACTGAGGGAGGCTGAGACAAGAGGATTATAAGTTCGAATGCCGCCAGGGCAGTTTTGCCAGACTGTCTCAAAAAGGGTTAGGGATGTAGCTCAGTGGTACATTGTGAAGAAAACGTAAGTGAAGGAAAGGAACTACTAAAGGATTAGATACATTATTTGGTTACTTACTTATTTTCAAACTTTGTAATTAATTTTTGAATGGATTTTATAAATATGCTGATATTTCAGATATGTATGTACTTTCCCTTTTGGAAAACTTCAGCACTGTGTGTACTAAATTTTGTGTGAATAGTTAGGAACAAATACGGAGTTAGTCTGGCAAATGGTAGAATCTCACATATTTGATAACTAAAGTTCATTACTGAAGTAGATCAGTACCAAAAGGAAGAACTGGGGGGGGGGGGCTTGACTTACACCTTTTAAAATGCCTATGGTACAGGAGACTTTTTCTTTAAAAAGGTTATTATGTACCAGGTTTATAATAGATTTTCAGGTGCCATTTAGACTCTGGATTAAGAACCCATGATTTAAGTAATATTCAGCTATAGAATATAGTAAGGATTTTTTGTTTATTGGTTAGCCATTTTGTGATACTAAAGATTGAACCTAGGGTCTTTGCACTGAGCTACATCCCCAGCCCTTTTTATTTTTTGAATCAGGCACTCATTAAATTGCCCCAGTTGGTCTGGAACTTGCCATCCTCCTGCTTCAGACTCTCAAGTACCTGGGATGACAGGCATGCACAACCACTCCTGGCCTATAATCACATTTTTAATTGTTTTAAAGGACTACCAAATATAACTGACCTTTTTCTATTCCTACAAAGCCAATTAGAGTCTGATTTCCAAAGGGACACAGTAATGATTAAATATTTTACTTAAGGAAAACTCAAGTTTCTTTTGGTTTAAACTAAATCATTAATAATGTCCCAAAGAGATGAAACTATTTGCCATGCACAACTAAGCAAATAATATATTAATAACAAAGTACAAGGTTGAAAACAGATTTTACTATGAGAGATTGAGCTTGGCTATACCTAGGCTTTTTGGATTTGCAGGAGATGCTTCCATTTGACACTTTCCATTCTGTTTTAAATATTGTTTTCCCATTTCTGTGCTCTCTCTCCCCTAGTAGCTTTTATTCTGATACTTGGAAAATAAACAATTCTAAGTGCTCCTTCTGGGTATTTTATTACTGAGATGTGGGAGCAATAGATGGATGGGATTTGTCACCCATTTAGAGTAACATGGAGCTGGAAAGTCCCCACTCTATTGACACTTCCCTACCCTTTTTTAATTAACTGGAGATATAGTTAGATCATTTCTCAAATTTGACATATCAAAAGTATTACCTGTGACCCCTGATAAAAATAAGCGTTTTGTTTTCTTTGGGTTAAGGTCTCACTGTGCTCCCTGACTGGCCTCAGACTCAAACTCAGCTGTCCTGTTTCAGCTTGAAACAGGCATGTGCCACTGCCCTTAAGCTATTTTTTTGTTTTTGTTTGGCCATGCTGGGGATTGAACCCAAGCTAATGCTGAGCTAGGCCCCTTAGCCTAAAAGTAAGGATTCTTAACCATTTCCCAAGATCATTCCTCTTTGCATTTTGAAAGGACTCTTAGTTTCTTAGATTTTCACTGGATTGAGGGAAAAGAATGTAGGTTAGGAATGGGAAGAAAATAACAGAAGAAAACAGCGATGGAAAGGGGCACTCAGTTACCTTAATTCAGATTTCATTGTTTACTAGACTTTCTCTTGGAAGCTTGGTTAGAACAAAAATTGAAAGACCTTGGATGCCTGCTAAAGGGTTTTGGATTTCATTTTGTAGTACAAGTGATCTCCAAAATGGAATATTTAATATGAAGCATTGGGATTTGAAAAACCTTTTGTTTCTATGTTTTATCAAAAGATGATACTGAGTTTTGTTTTGTTTTGTTTTCTGTTTTCAGTACCAGGAATTGAACTCGGGACCTTGTGCTTGCCAGGCAGGAGCAGCACCACTGAGCTAAATCCCCAGGCAGATACTGAGTTTTGTTAATGTTTAATAAATAGTAAATCAGGTGTCTGAGTCAGAAACATAGTATTCTGAGGGAAGAATAACATTTTTATGAAGTGTTTTGCACCTGTTAAAAGTTACTGTAGCCAAGCTATCGTAACTCTTATCAACATGGACAAATACCTTAAAAAGGGTTGAGAACAGTAGTAGTACAAATGAAGACCAAATGATCAAACTTTCATTTACACTCCTAGTATTACCTGTCGGCCTTGTGACGAAGCAAAAACAATGATGTAATAGCTCTGACAAGAAGTTGCCTTCCCAGCTGGGTGCACGCCTGTAATCCTAGCACTCAGGAGGCTGAGACAGGATTACTGCAAGTTTGAGGCCAGTCTAGTGAGTTCAAGACCAGCATGGACTACATAAGAAGACCCTGTCTCAAAAAAGCAAAAGAGGGCCAGGGATTTAGCTCAGTGGTTTTGCCGCCTGCTGCACAACTGCAAGGACCCAAGTTCAATCCCCGGTACCAAAAAAAAAGCAAAAGAAAATTTAAAAAGTTCATTTAGTAAAAGGATTATTTAAAAATATCCATGTGTCATTTAGTGGTATATTATGCCCTAAATATAAATTGGGTCTTAAAATGCTGTTAACTGTGGAGCCATTGCATCTCAAAACACTTAAAAATTTTGCTTATTTTGTCTTTATATGACCCTTTTATTTCTGTAGTAGTGTGTTTTACAAAACTCCACTGATACTATATTCTTATGTATAACTCCACTGATGTGCACAAAGTTTTGGACATCACTGTTCATGAAGCTGTTTTGAAGAAAGCTCCAAGATGAGACTAAGTGAGGAATACAAGGAGCCTGGGTGGTTGCACTGGTGACTAGAATCGGTCATTTTTAGCTTTTCTATACATAGAAGTTCTTTGTTAGATTTTGTGAAAACACTTCTATTGTTTCTCTTTTATAGATAGTAGGAAGAATAGCAGAACCTGATAAAATGTTAAGAGAACTTGGGTGGCAAATTTCCATATCAAGAAGCATAGCCAGGAAGAGATTCATTTTTATCATTAGATTGCATTTCATAATATTCATAGGTCTTTTCCGGTTTAAAAAAAAAAGCCAAAAGTACTATTAAATCTTAACATATTTTGGGTTTTAGTTAGCATACATTTAACCAGTTCACAGCCAGCTAAACAGAAAGGTTAAACATGTAGGTCATTAGTGATTGGAATAGCTGGCTTTCTCGAAACAACAGAAAGTAGATGGTTGGGACACCTACATTACAATTTTGACCAAGAATGATTAGTCCTTCCCTTATTATATTGGTAACATCAACTAGAGCCTACTAACCTGTTTTAATAATTTTGTTGTTTTAGAATTTTTTTTTTTTTTTTTTTGAGACGGGGGATCTCACTAGGTAGTCCAGGTTGGCCTTGAACTCACTGTAGCCCAGGCTGACCTCAAACTCAGTGTATAGCCCAGGCTGACCTTGAACGCATGGCAGTCCTGCCTCAGCCTCCCCAGTGCTGAGATTACAGTTATTTTAGGAAATTGCTCAGTGTCGTCTTTTGTTATCAAAGCTACTATCTGCCAAGCTACTATTACCAGTACTTTACTAAAGTTTCAAAGGGTAACAAAATACTGTATAGTCCTGTGATGTCAGCTGAGTATGCATTTAGTGTTCTTATCAGAGGACATTTGTCATTCTGTTTCTATTTTGCTTGATTTTTATGTATGCTTTGTAGATATTTCTTTTCCAGTTTGATGGTGTAGAAATCTTTATTTCTTAACAGGATACGTTAATTGTTTGGTCAGAAGCTGAGAACTATGATCTGGCGCTTAGTTTTCAAGAAAAAGCTGGCTGTGATGAGATCTGGGAAAAAATCTGTCAGGTAAGTTTCTTTTTGTAATTTTTTTTTTTTTGGTACCGGGGATCAAACGTAGGATCTTGCACTTACGAGGCAGGCGGCGGAACCACTGAGCTAAATCCCCGGACCTCTTTTTGTAATATTTAACCTAATGTTTGCCCACAGTCTTGAAATTTTTTTTCCTTTTTTGCTTACAAGATTTTATTAGAATGTGAAAAAAATATCTTAGTATGAGCATTTCATAACCTAGATGAGATTTTTTGTTTCCGTCCTGGGGTTCAAACCCAGGACCTAGCAGTTGAGCTATACCCACCATTACCACCCACCAGAACTATCCCCATCATGGAATTTTTTTATATATTCTGCAGCAAATTCTTTCATTTGAAATTTTAAAACAAAAACAAAAACTTCATCAGAATTCTTTTTACCACTTTAGATTTTGATAGCATTCATTCATAACTGATACTCTATAGAATGTCAAGATCTTTACATAAAACAAGGATTAAATAATTATGTTTAGGCTTTTAGATTTTTTTTTCCCTAATAGTTGGTCATATCTTTATCTAATGTTTATGAATACTGTGTGCCAGGCACTAAAGATCAAAAGTACTCAGAACTTCAACTCACATGGAACTTAAAGAGTAGCATAATATATACGATATGTGTTACTCTCAGGTGACTAATATTTTAAACAAAAAATTTTTATTTTAGAACATTTGTTTTTGTTTTTTTGAGACAGGGTCTTGCTATGTAGCTCAGGCTGACCCTGAACTCACTGTGTAGCCCAGGCTGGTCTCAAACTAGTGGCAGTCCTCCTGCCTCAGCCTCTTGAGTGCTGGGATTATTAGTGTGTGCCACCACACTCAGCTAGAACAGTTTTTATATCTACAAAAAATGAAAAGATAATAGAGTTCTTATGTACCTACTTCCCAAACAAACCCTACTGCCTAGCTACGTAAAAGACATTTGTCACAATTAGTGAACTAATATTAATGCAGTACTTTTTTTTTTTGAGACAGGGTCTTGCTGTGTAGTTCAGGCTGGCCTTAATGTTCACTGTGTAGCCCAGGCTGGTGTTGGACTGTCAGTGGTCCTCCTGCCTCAGCCTCCGAGTGCTGGAATTACAGGCATGCATCACCACGCCCAGCTAATACAGTGCATACTTGTTATTAAATAACATCCATACTCTATTGAGATGAACCTACCTTTTCCTTAATCCTCTTTTTCTGTCCCAGAATACCACATTGCATTTACTAGTCATGTCTCATCCTCTTTAGTCTTCTCTTGACTGTGATACTTGGTGATTAGGACTTTAAATTAATCATATCATTCATTTTCTTTAAATGAGAGATCACTATGTTTCAGTGATTGCTATTTCAATTGTTCATTTTAGTGGCTGGGTTTTTTATTTATGTGTCATTTTCATTTACATGAGCTTTTTGCTGTGTGATTCCGCCACCGTCACCACTATAGTGACTCTTAACCCCAAAGTTTTTCACATTAGTTTTATGGATCTAACTACAATCACTTGTTTTTTCTTGGTGCTTCCAATAATAGTATCATGCAGTATAATAAAGTGGTTTGAGAAAATACACTGTGAACCTTCCCATTCCCTATTATTTGACTTGGGGCCCTGGATCAGTATACTTCCTAACTGGGAGTAGATAGTTTCTTCCTTTGCTATTTTGTATCTTACTGTGCATCATGTATTAATTGAGCTCTGTGAGTGTACATTATTACATAGCAGAACTCCAACTGATAATTAAAAACACTAGTAAATGAGCTTTTTCATAGTTTATGAAAAATATACATAGAATAAAATTGAAATGGTTTTGTTATTGCTTTGCTTTTGTATTTTTCCTGTTTTTAAAACTGGACTATCATAGTAAGGGTCCTGATTTTTAACCTGTTTTCCTCCCATGTGTTCTCTAAGGATTGAGTTGAATTTTTTGTGCGCAGAATTTTCTATGAAGTGGAGATTTAAATTAGGACCTAAGCCGGGGATTTAGCTTAGTGGTTCTGCCGCCTGCCTTGCAAACGCAAGGTCCCAAGTTTGATCCCCAGTACCAAAAAAAACAAAAAGAAAAAGAAACTGCTAACGTCTCTTTTATAATAGTTAATGTAAAATAGAAAGAAAAGGGGCAAAGGGGAGGGGGAAGTGGGAGGGGTAGGGGAAAGGAAAGAAGGGAATGGAATTAATATGAGAAAATAGAAACAAAGTCTTTCTAAATAGGGAGGGATGGAGGGGTTGAAGGGAGGGCAGGGGAAGGGGAAAAAATAAGAACCAAGAGAATATATAAAGGTGCATATCTCCTATGATGAATGTCATTATATTGTACACCTAAAATGTACCAATGAAAGGATATACAAAAAATAAAAAATAAATTAGGACCTAAAAATAACCTGAATTACAGACTGACAAGATGTACTCAACTAATATTTGCTATTCTGTTCTTGATTCAAGATTAGCTTGCATTATGTGTTCATCCTTGAAAAAAGGGAAAAACTAGTCCATGTAAATAATGAAAACATGAAGAGTGTTAAAGTATTAAAATCACTAAATTATACCAAAAGGAGAAAACATTAAATGATTTTTATGAGCCTGTCCAGAATATTAATAGTAATATGCAAACAGTATTATTTTTCAATTATAAGTTCAAAAACAAGGATGTTTTATTTTATATACTTCCTCCTCTCCCTAATGCCAGCACAGTAACTAGCATCTTCATATACTCAGTATATTTAAAGAAATAATGAACAATGCAGAAGACATACATCTTATTTAGAACTAGGATGCTGATTTACATATCTGCTAAAACATTTATTTATATGGCAGATAGCATTTTCCAATGATCAGCATATTAGATTATATCTTATCCGAAACCTCAGCACTTATTCATGTGGTTTAGATATACATTTATTCTTGAATACTTCATACATTTGTCCTAGAAATTTTTGCTAAAATTTGTCTTATACTGTTTTTACTCAGTTTGGTAGCATTCTCAGTACCACTCTCAGATTTAGTAGTTCATTGAAAAGATTCAAAGAATCCAGCAAACTGTTTCATGCCTGGTACAGTTTATTACAGTGAAATGATGCAGACTAAAATCACCAAACAGGAAAAGGCACATGGGGCAGGGCCCAGGAGCATTTCAGTCTTGAACTTCCATTTGTAGGCCAATGTTAGAGCATGATATTAGGTATATAACCTAAATAGTAAAAGTCAGTAGGCAACATCATTAACAATCAAATTTATGGGGCCGGGGATTTAGCTCAGTGGTTCTGCCGCCTCCCTTGCAAGCGCAAGGTCCTGAGTTCGATCTCCAGTACCAAAAAAAAAAATCCAATTTATCATCAATGCTGTATGAGAAAATGTCTCCCAGAGTAATGTCACTTATCAAAGGTTATAGCCTCCCTTTTGCCCATATCACTTTCTGAGAGCAAAGGTGGTCTTGGCAAACACGGTTTCATTCTTCCAGGCATCTGGTATAATTGAGCTAGGAAGTGGGATCTCTTCCTCTTAATCTTTCTTGAGGAACACATATTAATATTGGATTTCCTTCTGTAGCATTTTCCATTTGTTCATTACTTAACCCTTTGATACTATTTCTCTTCTCCATTTATCTTTGCCCCCCCTTAGCAAGTGCTCTACCTTTGAAATGCACTCCCAGCCCTGTCACTGATTTTTATGCAAACTTTTTACCTTTGGTAGGAATATTAGGTTTGGCTACTCTACTAATCCAGTAAGATTAATTCTTTACTGTACAACATGTGAATATACATTTAAGATCTATGTGTGTTGTTGACTGTGCATCTAGTATATTGTTCCCTACTGCTACATAATGTTGTGTAAATTGTATTTTACTTTTTAACTCTGGATTAAGTTGATTTCACTGTCTTTGACCATGAGGGCCCGGTTGGAAGGAAGAGGCTCTGCTTCTGAGAGCCACTCAGGGACCATGCTGATAATTCATTTTAATGCAGAGTGTGAGGGAAAGGTAGCATATCAGAGTCCTTTTTTAGAAATTCTGCCCAGAAATTATACATGATTCTCTTGCTTATATTTGATTAACCAATGCAAGTTACACAGCTACAAGTAACTTCATGTGTCTCCAGATAAGAGAAAATCAGAACTACTGTGTGGATAGCACTGATGCTGTTTATGTAGATTTTTGGGTTTGTGTGGGATTGACAGGTCAGACCAAAATTGAGTTTGGAAAGATTTTCAGAATTAATGCTAGATAACAGAAATAAACATACTGTTATCAATACTTATAGAGCTGTGCATTTATTCTTTTTTGTTGTTGTTGTTACCCGGGATTGAACTCAGGACCTTGTGCTTGTGAGGCAGGCACTGGAACCACTGAGCTAAAATCCCCAGCCCTGTGCATTTATTCTTAAACATATGCAAACTGTGTTCATTTGAAGTGTCAGTTAATTAATCCAATTTTCGCTTATTTCTTTCTTAAAACCTCTTATTCTTCTTTCTTAATTGTGTACTCCATTGTTGTTTTTCTTGTTAACTGACGTATAGTCTTCTGGCTCTTACCCTAATACCAATATATCTTTTGCTCTGTTCTTTTTCCTGAAGAGTAAGCCTACAGGTTTATTTGCAAGTTATTCAAACACTTCAAACTTAGTAAAACCAGTCACTTCCAATCATTCCTTCTCCCTTGATCCCAGTTTATTTTTTTAAGAAGTCATAATCCTCCTGATGACAAGTTTAATGCTATAGGAGCATTTGTGAATCCCCTCTTGTAGCTCTTCCTCATCTATGCCAGTTTCTACGTGTCCCACCACCACTCCAAATTTAGTTGTACATACAAACCAAATTATTTTATTTAGAAGAGAGAATCTGTTCTCTCAAATTTATCCCACATTAACTTTCTGAAAATTCTGCATGCTTTCCTCCACAGTAACTCATTGTTTAGCTTGACTTTCCATGATCTGCCTTCAGTGTACATTTCTAGTTTTGTTGTCATATGCATGTCACATATTTCCAACACCTCAAATGGCGCTGTTTCTATGATTCTTGCTCCCAACACGCACACATGCACACCTCGAGAGCTGGAAGAAATTCTGAATTCCCAAAGTATTTTATATACACTGCACTATAACGTTGCTACTTAAACTTTCTCTTACATTTATGTGTCAGTTTCCATAAACCCAGCAACCCTGTGGAGAACTCAGAAGTACTCTGTTCTCTCTAGGAAAAGAGGTAAATGATGTACATCTATTTATCTGTTTCTTTCTCAAGACCTTAATTTTGGTTTTTTGTTGTTGATTTTTTTATGGGTTGCTTTGGTGAGTAAAGAAACATGTGAAACTTTTTCTGCTTCAGGTGTTTTGAGGTACAGAAGGCACGATAGAATAGCTGTACTCTTGTGTCAAAAGTTAGAAAGTTTTTCTTGATTCTTTTTTTCCCAAATCCTCTTCCCTCCCTTTAACCCCTCCTACGTAATATATCTTGATTCTTTTTTTTAATTAGAAAGTTTTTATGAAGAGTAAAGTTCTAAATTTGTTGAGTAATTCATCGAAAATTTGTTAGTTGTGCTTGAGTTGTCAATCTGAATGTTAACAGCTCTCTTCATTATGTGTTTTTTTAACTTCAGAATTTCATTTTATTGAACACACTTAAAACAAGCACCTCTTGGTAATAAAAGCAAAAGAACCGGTAACCCCTGCCACTCAATTCTAGCAGTCTTCATTGTGTGGGGTTTTTTTTGGGGGGGTGGGTACCTGGGATCGAAGTCGGGACTGTGCACTTGTGAGGCAGGCGGCGGCACCACTGAGCCAAATCCCTGGCCCCTTCATTGTGTTTTAATCATGTAGATATTAAAAGTTAAAGACTTTATCACAGAGGTTGAATGCCATTTTAAGTAGACAGTTTCTTTAGAGCAGTTTTAGATTTTCAGCAGAAGCAAATATTTTTTCAAAAGTTAGCTTCAAAAGAACTTTAACAAAATCATATTTACTCACTCTTTTAATAATAGAATAGGGTGGGGGATTTAGCTCAGTAGCACTGCATCTGCCTTGCAAGCACAAGGTCCTGAGTTCGATCTCCAGTACAAAAAAAAATAATAATAATAATAGAAAGAATACTGTTTTCGTTTAGTGTGAATTTAATGGTGTCCTCAAGCCAATGTGATGGTATGATAGGTCACTTTAAGACATATTTAGCGATGGGGGGAGGCAGATGAGTTGCCTTCTATGTTATTTAAAATTATTAGGCATAGTGAAGTTATTAAACAACTGCTTGTTACTGTTACTACATGATTTACAGGATTAACCTTATAAATACATAATACTAGGTGAAATACTCCAGTTATCAAGTATCAGAGTTAACCAGAATTTACATGTTGAGAAGTTTGTAAGGGAAACAATCTATAGTCAGTTATTTAATATTCAAATAATTGATTTGAAACTAGGTGTATCTCACCCCACTCCCATTTCACTTTTAATTAATAGTGACTACTAGTAATGAAATAAAATCCATGCAAGGTATTTTTACTTAAATTCAGTAGTCAGTGATTTTATTTCCAAAATGTTAAATTCTTTTGTATTTTAAGATTACCATCTCTACTTGGATGTTTTTAGGTTCAAGGTAAGGACCCATCAGTAGAAGTCACACAGGACCTCATTGATGAATCAGAAGAAGAACGATTTGAAGAAATGCCTGAAACCAGTCATTTGATTGACCTACCCACGTGTGAAATCAATAAACTTGAAGAGATTGCTGATTTAGTTACCTCAGTTCTCTCCTCACCTATTCGTAGGGAAAAGCTGGCTCTGGCCTTGGAAAATGAAGGCTATATTAAAAAACTACTGCAGCTGTTCCAGGCTTGTGAGAACTTAGAAAACACTGAAGGCTTACACCATTTGTATGAAATTATTAGAGGAATCTTATTTCTAAATAAAGCAACTCTTTTTGAGGTTATGTTTTCTGATGAGTGTATCATGGATGTCGTGGGATGCCTTGAATATGACCCTGCTTTGGCCCAGCCAAAAAGACACAGAGAATTTTTGACCAAAACTGCAAAATTTAAGGAAGTTATACCAATAACAGACTCTGAACTAAGGCAAAAAATACATCAGACTTACAGGGTACAGTATATTCAGGATATCATTTTGCCTACACCATCTGTTTTTGAAGAGAATTTTCTTTCTACTCTTACATCTTTTATTTTCTTCAACAAAGTTGAGATAGTCAGCATGTTGCAGGTAAGTACTGTTCTTCATAATTCTGTTTTCAGATACAGTATCAAATTACCTAATAGTTCAAAGTGTGTCTTTTGTTCAAAAAGTGTATCTTTTGTTGGGCCAGGGATTTAGCTCAGTGGCACTGTGCCTGCCTTGCAAGCGCAAGGTCCTGAGTTCGATCACCGGTACCACAAAAAAAAAAAAAAAAAAAAGTATCTTTTATTTACATTAAATATTCTGTCAAGCATAAAAAACATACCTTGTGGTTTTATGAAAAAGTTAATTTTTAAACTTTGTATTTTTAAGTATTCCATGATACAGCTGTTATTTTAAATTCTTTATTTTTAAAATTGATTTAGGTTATAGATAAAATTCACAGTTTTAACCACCTATACATGTACAGCTCATTGGCATTAAGTACATTCAGTGTTATGTAACAGTCACCACTTCCATTTTCAGAATTTTTTTGTCATCCTAAACAAAAACTATTGATTAAACAGTAACTCCTTTTCCCATTTCCCCCATCTCTTGGTAACCACTGTTCTACTTTCTATCTCAGTGATTTTGCCTGTTGTAGATACAGATGACACAGTTCTTTTGTTTGTTTTATTTTGGGTTTGGTTTGGTTTTTGCTTTGTTTTTCTGGATTTTGGTTTTTTGCTGTGCTGAGGATTGAACCAGGACTTGGCACATTTTATGCACCTGTTTTATCACTGAGCTACAACCCTAGCCCTGTGCAGCTATTTTTAAAAGTATGTTTTATTCCAGCCAGATGTGATGGTGCATATTTGTAAGTCCTAGCACAGTCTGAAAGGCTGAGGCAGGAGGATTGCATGTTTTAGCCCAGCCTGGGAAACTTAATGAGTGTCTGTCATAGATGAGGCATACAGGCCAGCAGGCTGGCTAGAGTTGTAGCTCATTGCAAAGACCCTACGTTTCATCACCAGTTACCACAAAGTGTAGGGTGGGGGTCAGCTTTTATTACATTTTGAGAAATAGTTACTGGTTTGTTTATGAGTATGTGTGCTTTAAACTTCCCAAATAATTCAGACAACCAGGATTGAGAAACACTCAGGAATTTTTAGATAATGGTAATTGGTTAGATTATTGACTATGTGAAGTTGATTTTCTTCTTTTTCCATGAGTTCTAAAATACAAGTTTTGTCAGGCATGGTGGCACATACATGTAATCCCAGCACTCAGGAGGCTGAGGCAGGAGGATTGCAGCAAGTTCAAGGCCAGCCTGGGCTACACAGTGAGATCCTGTCTCAAAAAACAAAACAAAATAAAATACAAGTTTCGTATTATGTTTTTTATATTACTCTTTTACATCTTAATAATATAGTAAGCATACCTTTGAAGGTTTTACATTACTTTTGATATTAGACTGTGCTGTGTCTTGTGTAACTGCCTTTGTTATTTCCTTATCAGTTACTGAGTTCATTGAGCAGCTAGTACATATGTACTTAGGATAGTAGTTCATGAAGTATGCTCAGTGGATCCCTAAAGGTCTGCAAAACCTTTTCACGGGAATCACTTAAGATTTTCCGTTTTCCAGCTTCATGTTAGTGTGGGGCTGCATTTATATATATATATATATATATTTGAGCCAAAACCATGTGTCATAACAGATTGAATACAAGAGTTGTCTTCTGTTAAGTCAGTATTAAAGAGGTGCAAACATATAAAAAAGGACCATTCCAAATTTTAAAAATTTTGAATCCTATAGTTTCTCATTTAAAAATTTATATAGATGTAATGCCTTACAGAATTTTAGAAACTTTCTCAAATGCTTTAATTGTAATTTTAATCATGGTAAATACTAAGCATAATACATATAATGAAATGACTTGAGGCCCTTCATAAGTTTTTTTTTTTAGAGTTGCTAAGGGGATCCTGAGAATAAATAATTGAAAATCTCTAACATACTCCTTAACTATTAGACTCTATTTTATGACACTTCCAACAAATATTAACCTTTCTGTTATTTATTTTTTATATACGATGTATTTTTTCAGATCATTCTTTTACCTAATGAGTTTTTTACCATTCCCCAGTAATGAATGTGTAGGAGGTTAAACGTACACATTAGATTCTTTTCATATATATAGGAACAGTTTTTATTTTTTTAATTAAATCATGCAGTACAGTTCAGAGTATTGTTTTACTTGCTGACAAACAGAGTCTCAGGAGACTGCAAATAGAGTCACACTGTATAACTGATTTGAAGAACCTAGTGTCAGAATCTCAAATGTACTTTTCAAATGACTACTTTTGACTTAGGGTATCTATAAATATTTGTAGCACATTGTAGTCATTTTATATTACACTTTGTAAAACATTTATTTATAAAAGCTGTAGTAGCATAAATCGAGTGAAGCTTTTAAAAAAGAAAGTTTTGGGCTGGGGTTGTAGCTGAATTGTAAAACCCTTGCCTATCATGTGAAGTGCTAGGATAGTCCCGAGTACAAGTCTTACTCTTCTCTGGTCCATGAAGATACATTTTATGAAATAGGCAAATACTATGAACTACTACCTGTTTTAAATAAGACTTACCACTTAATTATCTTATATGTGCCAATAGTGATGCTGAGTTCAATTTTCAAAAATGCATGAGAAAAGTAACTAAGGTTGTGGCCAGTGGCCTTGAAATTCCCAATTCCAAAACCTCAACTCAGGTTTCCATGTAGAGATATTTGGCTAGATATAAGATGTTTTCACACAGCCTTCTGACTATCTAGCATGCATTTCTGTGGCCTTTCAGATGACTGTCTGCTGTTGCATGAATTAAGGCAAATGAAAATGTTCATGTTTATTAACTAGACCGAAATTTAATAGTACAAGTATATATATAAATAATTGTCTAAAATAGGTTAACTGAGAAGTTATATGAAAGCACATAATGTCATTCGTGGCCCCTACTATGTACTATAACATATGTTGACATTGTTGTCTAAAGTAGACATGTTAAGGGCATCAGATTTTAGTTAATCTGAATTTTCTAGCTAATTGCTGAACAAAATTCCAGTTCCTAAAATTTAGAAATATACTTTAAACATGTTTTATAAATTAAATTCCTAAGGGCCTATAAAGCAAGGTTATTTCTTTTTTGGGGGGAGGCGGGTACCAGGGATTGAACCTCAGGGCCTTGCCCTTGCGAGGCAGGCGCCAGAACCACTGAGCTAAATCCCCGGCCCCAAAGCAAGGTTATTTCTACGCTAATAGTTAGAGAATAAGATCCTTTTATGAAGAAGTTTTGGGCCAGGGATTTAGCTCAGTGATTCCACCACCTGCCTTGCAAGCGTAAGGTCCCAAGTTCAATCCCTGGTACCAAAAAAATAAGAAGTTTTAATTTCTGCCCTTACTAGAAATGTTTAGGGACAATAACCTCATATATTGACATTTTAACACATACCATACACAGTATTTCTTCGGTGCTAGGTAAGAGTTGAGCTTAAAGCAAACCCAGTACAATTTGTGGTTTTTGTTTTTTTTTTTAATCTATTTTGTAGATAATCAGGTTTCAGCACTGAGAGAAGCTTCTAATTTTTCATTTGTTACTAATTAAATATGTAAAATCTTCAAATGCCTTAAAAAGTATTTGTTATGATTCCTTTCAAGGGATTTTTTTTTTAAATTCAGGTAAAGGGTTTAACATGTTTAATTTTATTAGATTCAGCCCTTTCTAACTTGTGTGTCTTTTGCTGTAGTTGATTCTTAAGTTTGAACTTAGGAAACTATCCTGAAGTTTATTTGGTAAGAGTGACATTTTTTTAAGGTCCAGATTCTAAATGGTTATTCTGTCACTAGCCTCAATTCCACACTTTGGACTTCAGTCTCCTGCAGTTTAAAATTGGACTAGACAGTGTCTTGAGTAATATTAAAAAGCCTGGTCCAATTTTAAATTTAGAATGTTTAAGTCATTCTAAGCATGATGAATGTATTCACTTTTGTTTTGCTTGGTTTTACATTAAATTCGAAAGAAAAGTGTTTGATAGACTTTATAGAAGAAGCCTCTCTTCACATTTTGTTGTGATCCAGAATAGCCACACACAATTTAACAATTTATATAATTATACTTTGCTAAAACAAAAACTCAAGTGAAAGGAAAACTGAAAGTGGTCTAAAAAGATTAGCTTAATTACTTGGCAAAGTAAGGATTTAGGAAAAGACCTGTCTTTTTCTAAACACATGTGATAGCCATTAAAAGTTTTCAGTCATTTGTTTCCCTGCAGTATACATTGAAACACATTGATTTGTAGCTTGAAGACTAATGCTAGAAATTAAAATTATATATATACTAGCAGTCAGAAAACATTCTCCTAATGAACTTCATAGTACTTGAGATTTCCTATATGTATAATATTTTATACAGTTCTAGCTATCAGCTCACAAGTACTGAACCATATAAGAAGAATTTAAATGGGAAATTGCATTTATCAAGGAGTTGGAACTTTATTCTATGAAAATATTCTGAAAAAAGTTAAAAATCTTCAGACAGGAAGGAATGAAGATTTAATCTGGGAGAGATAATAGGAAGATAAAAAATTATTAAAGATGTGAGTAGAGGTAAATATGTACTTCTTTATCAAAACAATAAAAAGGAGTCAATGCTATAAATAACAAATAGCATTCTGAGTCAGACTAATGAAAACATTTATCTCCCAGTGTTTGTGTTTGACTAGCACCCACTGATGTTTGGTGGGAGAACTGCATACTTTGTATGATTGTACAGAGAGGTTATCATTCATGTATTTCTTCATATATGCTCCATCATATTTCACAAAAGACTTAAATCCATGTCATTTAGTGGGTAATCCACAGTAGGAAAAAGATAAGTATTTGAAATATATCCTTTATATATTACGGTTAGATTTTGCTGTCCGTCATGCAAATCTTATTGTTATGAACATTTTTAAAAGATGCCATTTTAAGTAATTAAAATTAATAGAATTTCACTTCATAAAAGTAAACTTTGAAGATGTAACTAAAGCTTAAAAGCACTGATAAATTCAGTTTTCTTTTAGCAGATTTTGATGTAGATCTTGTAAAATGAATTTCGATATTTGTCAATTTTTTCCTTTGTATTTCATAGACTACTTACTGCAGAAATTTGAGAAGTACAGTAAAAACAAAAAAATTAATCTGTCACCAAATTAGCATTTTAATGTGTATCCCTTCTATACTTTCACACATAATTTTATATTTAAAAATACACAGTTTAGGCTATCATGGTTTTCCTCACAATAGTCTCCCCTGTGTCCTCCAGAGTACCTTTTCTCTTCTTTTTGGCCCAAGCCAGTTTCTCCCTTATTCATCATGTTTACTTTTTTAAATAAACTTTGTCACTGTTAAAAAGAAAAACTACGTAGTTTATTATATTTTGTTTGTGCTTTTAAACAGTGCTTAGGAAATTGACACTTAACCTGTCTTTTAATACCTCAGAGTCAGAATGAAGTTATTATAGTAGTTTGTCCTTTAGTTATGTTCTTGGAGACTACAACAACATGTGAATGCTCTAGTTGGGCAGAGATGATGATTATTATATTTTATGAGATTTTGTGTTTTGAGTGGCCTTTTAATCTTACCTGCTGCCAGAATTTAGCTTCCTTTACTGCTGTTCCTGTGCCATGTGTTTTCTAATCGTCTATGAAATGGCAGTGAGATCTCAGACCTGTTTGAACTGTGTTCTAAGAATAAATAGACCCTAAAAGCGGGCTAGAAAAGATACCAAAATTAAATTAGTTTGCCACAGTACCTATAGAATATCTGTGGGTTTCCTAAAGCATTCTTTAATAGTGATATTTCTAGTTAGATTCTGTATTCTGAAATTCTAGGTTTTCTGATGAAATGCTATTTTTCGCCTGTTTTTACAGTATTTTGTATAATTCAGAAGTTATTACTTTTATTAATATTTTATAATTTCTTTTCATGCAGGAAGACGAAAAGTTTTTGTCTGAAGTTTTTGCACAATTAACAGATGAGGCTACAGATGATGATAAACGACGTGAATTGGTAAGTTATTTTTGAAATTCAAATTCTTAAAGAGGACTTACTCATTTGACTTGCATAATCTTTAATCTTGAAGTTGTTGAAATCAGTATGTGATAAAAAATGTATTTAAGTTGAACTCTGAAGTTACCGTTCAAAATTTCTAAAAATTTGTTTTTATATATTGTAGAAAACTCTTACAGTGTTTTGTTGTTTTTTTCCCCCTCAGTGAGGGAATTTGAATTCCTTATAAATCCCAGATCATATAAGTGGTTTTATATGAAAACAATACTGCAAAGACATTTTTGTAATTACTGATACTTACATACTAGAGATGCTTTCCTTTTTAAACAGGAGGTGTAAAGGGAATGCTTCTTGACAAAGTGAATGGTAAATAATTTGGTTTTTTTGAAATGTTTTATATGCATTTTTTGTAAGAATTTTTTTCAAAATATAAGCTGTTTGCAGGGAAAAATAGTGATTGCTTTTTGCTAGATGTTTGCCCTTTTTTCAAATATAATGGATTTGAGTATTCTATAAAATAATGAAAGATTATTGACTTAAAAACTTCTGAATCATCTTTGGGTACTTATCAATAGTATACCCAGTTTTCTTATTTGTAAAATTAGTGTTTTAAGCTGGAATCTCTGAGAGCCCTTCTAGTTCCTAAAATTGTATCATGTTTTAGAGGGCTGTGTGGGAACTCAGCCAGTTTAGTATAAGATAGTTTGTATGCACATGCCTTACGTAGCATTTTTGCACTGTAATATATTTAGATTCAATATTTGAGAAATAATGAAAGGTTAACTGTTAATGGAATGGTAGTTCTTTTTTTTTTTTTTTTTGGTACTGGGGATCGAACTCAGGTCCTTGCGCTTGCGCAGCAGGCGGCGAGACCACTGAGCCAAATCCCCGGCCCTAGAATGGTAGTTTTTAATGTAGGGTTTGAGGAGCTAGGGTATTGTGAAAAAAAACAAGATCCTTCAGAAGGGTGATTCCCATACTGTAGTAGCTAAAATAGTGTACCCTAATTTATTTTTATGTTTATCAATATCTCACTATAATTTTTTAACATTACAGGTCAATTTTTTCAAGGAATTTTGTGCATTTTCTCAGACATTACAGCCTCAAAACAGGGATGCATTTTTCAAAACTTTAGCAAAATTGGGAATTCTTCCTGCACTTGAAATCGTAATGGTAATTGTATGGTTTCTTTTCATGTTTTTAAAATTGTGAGCTTGTAATAGGTTTTTTTTTTATTATGCATGGGAAACAGTTTATTACAGTGAAGCATATTGAATTCTTTGTCTATATACACACTCATACATATATATATAAATAAATATACACACATATATATTTTCTTTTCCCAAAAATAAGACCTAGAGATAAAAAATGCCAGCTCCTATCAGCCTATCCTTACCTTACCTGCCATTACTGTTCTCTTGCTCTGTGGTTACTCCATAAGGCAGGTAAGGCAAGAATAGGTTCATTAGAGCGGGCATTTTTTATCTCTATTTTTCAAGCCTGATTATTTACCAGCTAGGTCTTATTTCAGGGGAAACGTGGAGCGCATTGGATAAAGCATATTAAATTCTATAGTTTATTATTCAGCTGTTGTACTACTACAGAATTACTTTGAATTTTCAGATATTTACTGTTTAATTTGTTACGTCAGTATGTTATCATTTCCATGTAATATGCCTTCAGGTGTATAAAAATCCCTCATGTTTTTGAAATATTTACCTTCTTTGTAACAATGTTAAGGATATTTTATAGATAGTAATGAAATATCTTTTCTTTTTAGACCAGTGGGGTGGAGTAAGGAAGGGACAAATGGCCCAATAGGGTACTGCGGGTTAGGTCATGGTTCTCGTACTTCAGTTACCTTTTCTTCATGAATTTAAAAATTTTTCAATAATACATGTTTATAGTCTTGGTACATGTATATAACATATCTTAATTCTTTTTACTACCTTTTACCCTCCCAGCTTTCCCACTTCCCTCCATCTCTTGGTCCCTTTCCCAGTTATTATTTTTATCCATTGGCATTTACTACATGAAAAATTAAAATGAGAAATTTTAGTAGTGTTCATTTTAAATAAGCAGCCCATTATTGTCAATATAAATAAACTATGAAAAAATAATTTTTCTAAAACAATAATTTAGTGAGAAGAGCAGCATTGTTTTATCTTTGTTTTTGTTTCATTTTTCTGTTTTGCTAATTCCTTTAATGTCTGGTTTAGAACATAGCTAGAGTCTCATAGTTGCTTCTGTATCTAATTTGTGTGGTGTCACATGTCATAAAGCCCCTGGAAAACAACATTGTCCTTGTGATTGAGACTGAAAAAGGCAAATAAATAATCTTTAATATTACGTATTATGAAATGGTTTTAACCTTGTAGACTTCCTGAAAAGGTTATTAGATCCTTTGCTAGGATTTTCAGGGCCACACTTTGAGGACTGCAAGGATTGTTTTCACAATTATTGGCTTAGAAAATTAAGTTTTGGGAAAGGGGTAAAGATACCCAAAAAGTGCCCAAAAGGTGTTTTCAAAGCACCTTCTATTAGGCAAATTATGGAATAGATTCAGTTACTTGGCAAATCTAGGAGAAAAGACAGATCTGGTAACCTTTAAAGTCTTAGTTAGAAGACAACATTCTTTGCTGTTTTTGAATATATTTAAATAAATCCTTTCCCTGGATTTGGGGGTAATAGGGGGACTGGGGGATCAATCCCAGGGCCTTGTGCGTGCTGGGCAATCACTTCACTGAGCTGTATCCCAAGCTCCTAGCTGGAGTTTTTAACAGCATCTTTAAAGCATTGCTTTGTAATCCTGTGCTGATTTTCTGTGTGTGTATATGTGTGTTACTGGGGATTGAACCTAGGGCTGTCACACTGAGCTGTATTCCTAGCCCTTTTTTAGATTCTGAAACAAGCTGTCATTAAGTTGCCCAGGCTAGGCTTGAACTTGTTTTCCTGCAGCCTCAGCCTCCCAAGATGCTGGGATTACCATATTGGACAGGGCAGATACAGAACAATTAACTTTGTAGAAAGTTCTGCCACACAGTGCTGCCCTAGTTCAAGAAAGCTTCTTGGGCAGGACCATCATGCCCTGACTAATGATTGGACTGTGGCTTACTCTTAAAGGATTGAGGGAGACAACACCCCCTGCAAGGTCAGAACAGAGAACAAAGATGGCAAATTCTCCTTCTGGCATATGTTGGTCTTGACCAAGGTCCTTTGCTTCTCTAGTCCAGTTTGTTCAGCAGTAAAGCAAGGGAGACATCAGACTAAAAGACCAGTCAGACTCAAGTCTGTCCCAATCCCTTGTGATGCTGAATGAACTGGCAGAATATTCTATATGTTTGTTGGATCGTGAAGTACACAGAGCTTTTCATCTCCCCAAATAATTTAATTTTAGAAATATAATTTGAGATTGACTTTGATTGCAGATATTCTATATGCAGTTCTTTTTAAAAATTGAGGCATAATATTTGTACATCAGTCAGTTTTTTTCTGTTGGGAATTTGATACTTTTTAGTCATTTTGAAATCTATCATATTGGGGTTATTTTCACTTTATTTTCTTATTAGGACATGTTTGTAGTACGTAACAACCACATTCTTCATGGGAAGTTAGTACATGTACATAACACATCTTAAGTCTTTTTCATCCCCTTCCGCATTCTCCCTCCATCTTATGGTCCCTTTCTCTTTTGCAAAAGATCTATCTTCCTATTATTAACCTATTATGTATCTTTTACTTTGCTCTTTATATTTGGGGTTTTTCATGTAAGAAAAACCATGCAGTATTTAAACTCACGTGCCTGATTTATTTCAAGGTGCATCCATTTCCCTACAAATGACTCAGGTTTGTCCGTTATGGCAAAATAGTACTCCACTGTGTCTAAATACTTCATTTTCTTTATCTATTCATCTGTTGATGGACGTACAGGCTGCTTCCAAGATTTAGCTTATGAACTGTGCTGCTGTAAACATGGATATGTATATATCACTCCAATATGATGTCTTCAACTCTTTCAGGAAGGTACCTAAAGATAAATAGCTGGGTCCAGTGGAATTTATATTTTTAGTTTTGAAAAATCTCCAAATATTTCTTTTTAATTGTCTAAAAAAACAAATAGCAGAAACTAATCTGTGACCTGCCCCAAAACAGTAGTATTTATAAAAAGACAGGAACCAGAGGATGGAAAGATTATGTATTTTAATTGCAGCTCAATGCCTTAATCCAAGACATTACTTGAGAAGTAATACATGGATTTGGGAAAGAAAAAGGGAGTACAAGAATAACTTTTTTAAAAAATAAGTTTTATTTTATTTCATTTCCTCCTCAAGCCTCTTTCCCTCTCTATGTACAAAAGCTTTGTTTCCATTTTTTTCCTTCTATTTTCACTTTTTTTCTTGTCGCTTCCTTCATTTCTCTCTCCTTCCTCCCTTGTCCCCCTTCCCATTTGAACATGAAATAACTTTTATTAACAGTCACTAAGTAATCTTCCTTTCCTTTTATCAGGGCATGGATGATTTGCAAGTCAGATCAGCTGCTACAGATATATTTTCTTATCTAGTAGAATTTAGCCCCTCTATGGTCCGAGAATTTGTAATGCAAGAAGCCCAGCAAAGTGATGACGTAAGTAATAATGCTGCAGTTCTATGTAAATTGCCTTTGGAGTACTGTTTACAAACTTGTGAGAGAAAGCTTAACTGTAATCTTAATTTTGGAAGAAAATTAGTTGTGACTTTGGCAAAGTCAGAATATGTAGCAATTGATTTGTTTATTGCAGAGGAAAAACATTCAACTCAGTATTGGGATATATTACAGTCTGGTCAGATTTCTTAAATACTGATTTTTTTTTTTAATTTGAAGGGCTAATGAACTGTAATTTCAGTCCCTGACAAGATTTGCAGTTCATATTCTTACCTAATGCAGCTAAGAATTTGCTTTAATTTGTTCATTTTTTTAAAGTGGGAATGAAAGTTTAATGGTGATATCAGTTTTGTATCTTGCCACTATAGAAATATTTAAATTTTTTGCCTTAAATTTTTTTTTAGAGGCAGGGTCTCACTTTATTTATAGTTCAGGCTGGCCTCGAAGTCACAGCAGTCCTCCCAGAATGCTGGAATTACAGGCGTACGCCACCATGCCCAACTTGCCTTAAAATATTTTAAGGCCAAAATAAACATATAGTTGTAGTTTAAGTACTCTATCTTCTATTAAAAATAATTTAGGGTTAAGTACAATTTAATTGAAGTATAATTAGGGCTTTCTTAAGGAAATAGTTTGATTCTGAATTTTAATTTGATGCTTGCATGAATTATTGGATTAAATTATAGCTTTATATGTTTCATGTTTAATGTCTTCCTCTTTTTTTACTGACAGTGCTGGAGATTGAACCCAGACTACATTACATGCTAAGCAAGCATTTTACCATTGATCCACACCTCTAGCCTTCATATTCAATTTCTTAGTGTCTTCTAACATTTATGCTTTTTTAGTTATTTCCATTTTTTAAAAGAAATTTCATTTCAGAGTCAGTCTGTCTATTACTATAGTTTAAACAACAGAGAAATAATTTTGTGTGAAGTATATTTTAACTTTTTTTAAAAAAACATGTTCAGGCCAGGGATTTAGCTCAGTGGTTATGCCGCCTGCCTTGCATGTGCAAGGACCTGAGTTCGATCCCCAGTAACAACAACAACAAAAAAAACATTGTTCAATGCGATTTTAAAGAAATAAGTACATTTTTATTCATCATTTCATAATTACTCTTACTATTTCAGTGTTGTCCTTTACAAGAGATAACTGAAATGATCACTCCCATTGCTGTATTCTTAGCAATCTGTGTAAAGGAATTAATCATAAAATGACCATAAATCTCACACAGACCATAACTGTAAACTGTTAACTTGTAAAGTTCTTAACTCTTAAAGCTTTGACTTTTGTTTTCATTGGCAGTACTTCTCTTGTTTACATATAATTAATACATAAGACTTAGAGAAGAAGCAATTGTTTTTTTTTCACTATGAAAAATGCCTCTCAGTTTTTTTTTTCTTTTGACATGGGGATCTTACTGTACTTTAAAGTTCACATATTAAGATATGGGAAATATTAATGTTTTTTATGGTTGGCATTGTTTCTATACAGGCTAAAAGTATCAGCTTACCAATCAGTAATTGCTGTTTTTTTGTTATTGCCACACATTGCATAAATTTTTATGCTAATGGCCTTTGAGGCATTCATTAAAACTTAGTATAAAACCTCACAAAATAAGTAATGCAGTTATTACTGAGCTACTTAGTTTGGCGAGTATTTTCTTATTTAAGAATATATTTATATTTTTAATGCGATAGTATTGGGATTATTATTTTAAAAGTCACTTTTAAAAGGTTCATGCTGAACTATTTACAATATAATTTATATGAAGTATGCTTCAAAGTAATTCTGGAGGATATGAATAAATTGGTTGGGGTATAGATAAGATTTGCTAATATTGAAGTTGGATGATGGGTGGGATTTACTATATTATTTTCTCTGGTTTTGTGCATGTCTGAGATTTGCCATAGAAAGAAGTTAAAAATACGTAAGATAATCTCCATCTTTGACTTCAGTATTTTGTGTTCAACAAATCACATTTTGTTCCTTAAAAATCCTCCATTTTCTTTAACAATTTACTTTGAATCAATCTTTCTTTTTTTTTTAAATCCCTACGTAGTTTTCACTTTTAATTTGGACGGAGTCTTTCAGGCTGGGCTCAAATTTGCAACATCTTGCCTCATCCTCCCAGAAGGCTGAGATTACAGGCATGCCCCCCATGCCTGTAAATTATAGGAAATTATAATTTTAAAATTATAATTTTTTTAATTATAGGAAATTATACTTTAAAATTTTTAATTATAGAAAAGTTACAATAACAGTACAAAGAACTCCCATATGTTCTTCACATTGATTCTGTCCTTTGCTTAATCACTGTCTTTCTCTCCCTTCATTTGTATATATACACTCATACATACATATTTTCTTTTTGAACCATTGAAAAATGAAGTGCAGAAATGATGGCACAATGCTTTCTGTAGTTCACATTCCTGTTAATTTTGTTAATTGTGCCAGTAATGTCCATTGTAACCAAGACAAAGCTTCTGATCCATTATCCCAATGATTTGGATTTGTTTCATGTATCCTCATGAATAGATTCAAGGTATTTCTCTGTGGCAGGAGTGATTCAGAAATAATGTTTCCTTTGGTGTGTCATATTAGGAAGTATACTACGTTTTAAAATTAGGCCAGGGATCTGGCTCAGTGGCACCATGCCTCCCTCACCAGCACAAGGTCCTAAATTCAATCCCCAGTACCAAAAAAAAAAAACCGATTGAGCTTTTCTTCATCCAGGCTGTTTTTCCATTTCGGAAACTTAAGGAATTAGACCATTAAAGTCTAATGTAGAATCTGAGGATTTATTTTTGTGCGCTTCTAATATGTCAGAAAGGGTTGAAGTTTTGGAGATACATACATATTTGTAGCATTCATTCAGTTTATAATATATGCATGAGCTTTTTATTAAATTCTTATGTTAAGTTGGGTATGGTGGTTTGCACCTGTAATCCCAGCACTCTAGGAGGCTGAGGCAGGAAGATCATAAGTTCCAGCCCAGCCTGGGCAACTCAGCAACTTGGTGAGACCCTGTCTCAAAATACAAAATAAAGAAGGCTGGACATGTAACTCAGTGTGAAGCCCCCGGGTTCAACCCCTAGAACCAGGGAGTAGGGGGTAATCTTATATTAATATTTTTAAAACTGGAAGTCCATCAGTTTTTATTCTACTACTTTAGGATATTCTTCCTGCACTTGACATCTTTTTCTTTTTCATAATTATTTTCGGTGTTCATAAAACCTAATATACACAGATGCTAATGTTTTCTTGATCCTACCAGAAAGTATCAGTAGAAAATTTTCGTGTAAATTCCTTCTGATTACTGTATGGTTGATAGTGACTATAGAATACCATCAATTACAAGATGTATCACAATCTCAAGATGCTTGTTTGTTTTTTTGCACTACTTGAGATTGAACGCATGGCCTAGCTCATGCTAGGCAAGTGTTCTACCGCTAAGCTACATACTAAACTCTTTTTAATTTTGAGACAAGATCTTGCTAACTTGCCCAGGCTGGGTTCAAATTTGAAATAATTCTGCCTCAGCCTACCAAATAGCTAGTATTACAAGGTATGTGCCACCACACTTGGCTCAAGACGTTAAAATTTTAGGGAAATCTGTCTACAGAATTAGTGAAATAAGGGCTGGGGATTTAGCTCAGTGGCATTGCTGCCTGCCTCAGAAGCGCAAGGTCCTGAGTTCGATCCCCAGTATCAAAAAAAAAAAAGAATTAGTGAAATAAATTGTTCGTTATATTTCCCATTCAGAAAATACGAGATGTGAGCTCAGAATCTGGGTAATTTCTCAATTCCATGCATAGATACCCAAAACTTTCCGTGTTGTTCATTTTGAGAGGAATATTGCAAAATTCTTGAGCCCTCTTAGATGTACTTTAATAACGGAAGTACTGTATGTGCCTCTAAGAATGGTTTGAAGTTGGAGCAAATGAAAAAAAGGGACATCATTTCTCTACAAATTTTGATTTAGAATTAAAACTTTGAGATGTCACTCAGAAACTGGTTAAACTCACATGAATATTGCTATTTTTAAAGTCCAGATAGTAAATGTGACATTGTGGCTCTTATGGTCTGCTCACCACCTATCATTAGCATGAACTGGACATTGACTGAAAGTTAATGGATGTGCCTTTGTTCTAATAAATGTTCTATTACAAAACTTTTCTTACAAAGCAGACTACCAGCAGGGTAGTCTGTAGCTTGCTGACTCCTCTCTTGGACCCCTTTTCAGTATACTGTAGATAAATTGTACTGGCATTTAAAGATTGATTCTGAATGGAAGATTATACTTGCAGAAACTACAGTGGCAATTTGAGAAAAGGAGCAAAACAAAATCATAGAAATAAAAAGACACTAATGGGGAGGAAGTTGTTAGGACCTTTTAAAAGGGAATAGATTTTTATGCCTCATCATTGGAATGAATTCACTAGGGTTACCCTGTAAAGGCTTAAGATCACTGAGTGTGGTGGCACATACCTGTGACCTCAGCACTTTGGGAAACTGAGGCAGGAGAATTTCAAGTTTGAGCCCAGCTCAGGCAACTTTGACTTAGTGAGATCCTGTAAAAAAGTTTTGGGCTTTTTTTTTTGGTACCCAGGATTGAACTCAGGTCCTTGCGCCTGCACAGCAGGTGGCAAAACCACTGAGCTAAACCCCTGGCCCTACAAGTAAAAATGTTTTGAAAAGGGGATGTAGCTTAAATGCACAGGCTCTGGATTCAATCCCCAGTACTGCAAAAGAAAAAAAAAAAATTTAAATCACATCATTGTTTCACATCACAAGAAGGTATTTCCTAGTAATGTTTTTGATTTCTTTGTTTTTTGAAACGGGGTCTTGCTATGTAGTTTAGGCTGGCCTTGAACTTGTGATGATCCTCTTGCCTCAGCCTCCTGAGTGCTGAGATTACAAGCATGAGCCACAATGCCAGACTTCATCATTTCTTATGCTTGATTTAATCTTGTATTGTTTTATGCCTTATAGCCTGGGTATTTAGTAAGCCTTATCATCTATGTATGTGTAAATATAGTCTATGTCATTTACACAGCAAAGAAATAGCCTAAGGATGCTTTGTTCAGGACATGTCCCTGTTATTAAGTGATGGATGACCCTGTGCTCAAGTCCACTGTATTGATGTGTTTTTCCTTTGGTACACTTTTTATCCTACTGTAATTCTTAGAATTTCTACTTTAAAAAAAAATAAATACAAAGAAAGTTTGTTTCGGCTTTGTAATTCTTTATATTAAAACCAAAGTATGTTACTAATGTAACAATAAATCTGCTTGACAGGGATTATAAACATAGTATTCACTTGCTTATCTCTAGGAAGAGTTGTGCACTTATAACTTACAGGGGCGGGGGACTAGGAAAGGTTTTTAATCATTTTTGGTAGAGGCTGAAAAATCTATGTTTCAGGATTATATGATGTGTGATCCTATTTGTTTAGTCCACTACTAAATTTAAATTTATTCCTGAGGGTATTTATTTATAAATAAATCTATATTTATGCCTGAGGGTAAAATCTAGAGTAAGAATCCCTTGGAGCCTCCAGGGAACAAGTTACTGATAGGGTTGCTTTCTACTTCCCTTAAAGCTGAGGTGCCCTCTGCTTTTTGTTTCTAGAACTTTGAAAAACATTCAGAAGTAAAAAGTTTTAAATAAACTCTTCCATTTTGTATATGATTCTGACTTTTTCAGTTGGCATATTTGTCTTATGTCCAAATGTGGTGTAATGGAAACATGTTCTCTTTCAGGATATCCTTCTTATTAATGTGGTAATTGAACAAATGATCTGTGACACTGATCCTGAGCTAGGAGGTGCAGTTCAGTTAATGGGACTTCTTCGTACTCTAATTGATCCAGAGAACATGCTGGCTACAACTAATGTAAGAAATTACCCTGAGATTAAAATTTTTTATATGGTTTTGTAATAAAATTTTGAGAAAGAAAACATGCCTTCATAAGTATACACTTGGTATTCAAGTAGCAGTAGTATTCTTGTAGCAATTTTCTTTGCAACAAATACAAGATTATAACCTGTTAAAATCTTAATAAAATGTTAGGGATACCATTTATGATCCTTGGCCTCTTAAATGTTAACTTCTTAAAAATTCACAGCACTGGGGTCGGGAATTTAGCTCAGTGGTTTCGCCGCCTGCTGTGCAAGCTCAAGGACCTGAGTTTGATCCCTGGTACCAAAAAAAAATTCACAGCAATGTGAATATATGTAACACTACTAAACTGTATATTTTACAGTGGTAGATAAGATAATAAATTTTATATTAATATGGTTTTATCACAATAAGAAAAGAAAAAAATTGAATATGTACTAAAGGATCTTAACTACCTAAGTCATAAAAAAAGATTTAAGAAAGTATTCTAGAATATAAATAATGGTTATCTCAGTGTGGAAGAGTATTTTCCTTAATAAAATCCTCTCATAATGAGAGAGCATGTGCATTATTAATTATAAAATTGTTAAGTTTCTGGGCTCAATTATGTAAAAATGAGTGGCAAAAAAGTAAAAGGTATTTTTTCTAAATCATGAACTTTTAAATTTATTTTTTCCAAAAATTTTCATTTTTATTATTAAGCCTTATAGTACATACCAGAAAAGTAAGCAGAAAACTTACAGTAAACCCCATGAAGTTTTCTCTCTTGAGGGAGGGGTCAGAGCAGCGCTAATAAATTAAATATCAAACTGTAAGCTATAGGCAAAAAGTGGAAAAAATACACAGCAGGGCTATAAAAATGGGACAACCACATTGAAACACTTGATTCTATTTATGCAATTGTTAAATATTCCAAAACAGTTCAGTTTTCTACAACCATCAACAAAGTGAATCCTAGGACATTCCTCACCATCCCCACTGGCAAACTCAGTGTAATGGGTAGTTACAGGGGTTGATTAATCCAATTATGAAACAGCAGCTTCTGAAAACACAAACTTTTTTTTTTTTTGAGATTTTTTACATTTATTTATTTTTTATATACACTGCTATTTTTAATTTTTTAAAATTTTATCCCATTCCCCCCTAAATTCCCCTCCCTTCCCCATGTACAAAAGCTTTGTTTCCATTTCTTCGTTCTATTTTCACTTTTTTTCTTGCCCCTCCCTTCCTTTCTCCCTCCTTCCTCATTCCCTTTCTCATTTGAACACTTTCTTCCTATTCCCCGGCATCCATTATACATCTTAACCCTTATTTACACATTCATTTTCTCACACCACAGAAACAATGCAGTATTTCAACATGCATGTTCAATTTATTTCACTTAAGAGTATGATCTCAGGGTCCATCCATTTAGCTATAAATATCTGAAGCTCATCCTTCTTTATGGCAGAGTAGTACTCCATTGTATTTAAAAAACTACATCTTTATTCACTCATCGGTTGTTGGGCATTTGAGCTGTTTCCAAGATTTAGCTATTACAAACTGTGCTACTATAAACATGGGTGTGCATATATCACTGTGGCATGATGCTTTTAATTCTTTCATGAAGATACCAAGAAGAGGTATAGCTGGGTCAAATTGAATCTCTAGTTTTAGTTTTTTGAGAAACCTCTGTACTGATTTCCACAGTGATTGCACCAGTCTACACTCCCACCAGCAGTGGAGCAGGGTTCCTTTTTCCCAACAGCCCCACCAGCATTTGTTATTGGTTCTTTT